GAGTAGGCGGCTTGCGACGCGGACGCGGATGCTGGCCTGTGCACAGACGGCCTGTGCACAGGCGGACGGCCTGTGGATAGGCGGCCTGCGGGTAGGACGCGGACGCCTGCGAGTGCATAGGCAAACGCCTTCGGCGGAAGAGTAAAACCGTCATAACTTTCTCAATTCTTAACGGTTTGATTTAGTTAGGATCTTGTTGAAAAGAACTCGCGACGCTCGTTCTAACGAGACCAAGAACTTTTGGAAAGGATAAGGCGTCACTGAGTTATGAGCGTCGAAAGCGGCTGTCATTGTTAGGAGAGAGGCCTTCGGCGTTAACAGTTAGAGGGGCCTTTGGCCCAAGGCGGCCTGCGAGTAGGCGGCTTGCGTGTAGGACGCGTGGGATCCACAGTCCTCGGATTTTGGAGAAGGAATTTTGGCCTAGGTTCAGAGATCTTGCGGGGCCCATATCTTTGCGATGGACGGTTGGATGGATCTGAAATTTTGTGGGGCCGTTGATCTCGGCCGGCCACGCATGCCTGCAAATTTTCAGCCTCAGATCTTGGGTGGGAAGGCACTGGCGGCTCTGTACAGTAGGCTTAGGATTCAGATTTAGGGTTATGGTTAGATTTAGGTTGTAAGTTAGAGGGGAAGGCAGCCGCCGACTCCTCAGGTGTAGGATCTGTTGCGGCTCGCACCATGGTAGTGCAGTGTAGTGTTAGTTAGGACTTAGAAGGTATAAAGTAGTTCAAGGCGTCTTGCCTTGGGTTCTTTCCCAAACTCAGAAGTGTAGATCAGGAATACATTTCCTATGCGTGTTTGTGTCCTTGAGTTCTGTCACCACGCACGAGGAGTTACAACTCAGCGTTCCGCATTTTGTAGCTAAAGGCCTTCGGCCGAATGTTCAGAGCTAGTACATTGGTTAGAGACTTGAGTAGTTCGGATCTGCACCTGCGGATGACTGCCGATGCTCAGAGCCAGTGACTAGTTAGATACTTGAACAGTTTCGCCCCTACACCTTCGAGTGTTTCTTTCTGATTGTACTCCTTTGGGATTTTTCCCCTGAATGCCAAAGTGAAGTTTTGCTACTTCGTGTAAGCCTTGGTTGTAAATTCAGGTTACGCTGCAGCAGGTGCCTTGAGGGTAACCCCTGTAGTATTTCTGGGAATGACAAGTGCCTGAGAATTCAAACTCTTCAATAGACTGTTATTGTGTTACTGGAATGTTTCTCAGTGAGTCCTTCAGTGCGGACCTGTGTTCTCTGCGCGTTTTGTGAGTTGAGAGTGTTGTTCACCGCGTATGAGTGACTTCGATCCGAAGTAGGCAGTCCAAACCGGGTTTCCTACACTGGCAGCAAGCTAGTGGAAGTGTTGTAAAAGCCGGAGTTGGAAGCCACTGCCCGCAGCTTCGCTGAGTGTGCTCGCGAGAGACTTTTCCCCCTGAAATCTTGAGTAGAGGTCCTAACGGATCTCTGGGTTGTGTTTCTGTAGTTTCAGGTGTGTGTGTGTGTGTGTGTTACGCTGCACTGTGCGACCTCCGAGTGCGCTCCGAGTGGACACTTGCAGTATTTCTGGGAGTGACAGTCGCTTGAGAATTCAAACTCCTCAATAGTCTGTTAAACGTGACACTTTGTACCCTGTGTGTTCCTCTGTCCCTGTGGGTTCGACCTTTCTACCACTATATTGCAGTTTTAGCCTTTAGTGGGTTATTACAACAAGAAATAGATGTTGGCAAGTTTGGATCTTGGTCGTATAATAGAAAATATGATGAGAAGAAAATCAAAGGGCATCCCTATGTAAGCAGCATTCTTGGTTTTCTCATCATATTTTCTATTGTACGGTATTTTCTATCACACACACTATATATAAGTATAGTTGTAAGCAACAATCTTAGCGATAAAGATGATGAAAAATTGGCATATCACTAGTCAACTCTATCCGTATGTTTGGTCCAATTAAAGCAATCAATTCCTTCATGTGAGAGGCAAAACAATTTTTATATGCAAGTAACAATTGTGTCAACCGTCGTCTTTCTTCTTGTGATCTGGAGACCAATCAATGACTCCCAATACTTCTCTATAGACACACTAGATAGAAACGACACTCTCACTGGTTGCTTTGCCACATACTCCAAAGAATCGGTATGGCTTTCTGTACCCTCCTTTGGGCCAACTCGCACATGAAAAACTACTCCAACTGTACAGACTACATCCCTAGTCGGCCATATGCATCTGATTAATTAATCAACCTGGATAAAGTTATCCGAGTCTAATCTACGGGGTTCATCAATGGCGTAGGTGACGTGTCAGATTCTTTCACCGCCTAAGAATGTTGCGAAAAATCCAAGATACTGTCAACGTGAGTGTAGAATCACGCTACAGGAAATCAAAATCACGATGTAGTATCTCCTTTGGTAGAAGATTTGTCCATCATAATCATGAATGATGAGCACGTGATACAATCCTTATTACATATATATACATTATATACAATCCAACAATACAGATATTCCAATCCATTATCTAAGCTCATGAATATTCGCCATCAATTAGATCCCAATGTCATCTAACATGGACACGTTCTCTAGAATATATGTTGGGCAACGTGGCTGATGCACTTAAAGATGACGTAACAAACATAACACCTCCCAAAACATACGAGATCTAGGCTACTGCAACCCTACTCCATGATTAGCGCGTGTGCAATGACCAAATCAATAAATCCAACCCGACTGAAATCCAATGTTCCCAACAGTGTAATATCAGAAGTCAACGTCTACTAGTATTTTTGAATAGTTGATCGTGGTAACAATGAAAGATAATAATGCATCAACTGTGTAATATGTCGTGAGGAGATTCTCAATCGACGTACAATCTCATCTTTCTCCACATACAAGTATCTACGTACAAAAATACCTTACTGCAATACTACAGCTAAACCTATGCTTATTCCACCAAAAAGATCCTACAAAAAAACATCGTCTAGAGAATACTTTCATATTCTCGATGTAGTAATCAATGAGGCTACTGCACTAGAATCACAAAGAGACTAATCATCTTGAGATTTCTTTATCTACTGAGTTATAGATACCTTGTTCTCAGACTTCTTCATCAATCTATCAACTTTCAACTATAACTCATGGCAAGAACGCCAAAGTGAAACGTCCAAAGAAGAGTACATTGCCCCTACAAAGTTCACAAACTCTTCCACATTCTCATAGATTGTAGAAAAAGCCCCTACATGTTGCACTTCAACAAGTCATTGGACCACATAATCACTTGTAAAACTAGAGTTTAAAGATAAATTCACTTGATGATGAAAACATAAAATCTGAAGATGAGATATAACAACAATGGTTCTTCCTTCCTTATATAACTCTTTTCAACAAGTACAAGAAGATAAAATCTTATTCTCAACATCCTATCCATTACTTGTGAATTGATGACGTGACAAATAACGTTAACAAGCACGCGGATTGTTGATGTGACCTTCCCAACTAAAAGACTCAATCATTATCTAAAAAACACACGGATTGCTGATGTGGGATTGTCAACTAACACAATTAGTCTTTATTTAAGTAGAATATTTAGATCCATGGTATGTATGCTAACAATTACTTTTGCTATTGGTCTAAATTATTTGCATGAATAGCTGAAAAGTGTCACAGGTTTTTCCATTGAATGTGCCAATGTTTAACTCTTCAACAAAACAAAGATTGCATGTTCTTATACTTGTTCATTTATTCTTCGCCATTTTGCATGCAAGAGACCAAAGTCTGCGAAAACTAAATCTGTCAAGTCACATAAAAGAAATCTAATCTTACATTCAAGAAGATGATTGGTTTCACAGTGTGTTATCAGCAATGACTTAGTCTAGTCATGAAAGTTGTTGGCATGCGCAATGCATATTTCCCTCTTTTATTTGTGAGTGAATGGTTGCATGTTTTGTATGTTGGATCAACATCGTACACATGAGTCATCCTTGATCTAGGAAAATGTTCAAGTTGCATGGAAGGCATGTGGATTTGAATTTGTTTATGATAATTGCAGGATATACAAATAGAGAAGGTGAGACGTAGATTTTTCTGGGCAAACATACAAGGAATAAAGTTGAAGTAACACACTTTTGGACTAAACATTCCACAATTTTGTGTTTTCTTCGGCATTGAATTTCATGTGCTTTGAAACTAGAATGAACGATTAGAAACTTTTCCAAACCTGGATGAGTCACTTTGCAGACGGAAATAATCTAGGAGAGAACGGTTAGTTATACTTCAGTTTAGGTTAATTATCACTCACCCTACCCTAGTTAAAGTGAACAAAAATGTTTTCAATACCATGTAAAGAAAAAGCCACTACTAATATCGAATGGTTGAAATGGAAAAAATGTCCGCATTGGATTCGCAAGGAAATCGAGATTTTCTCATTGCTTCAATTAATGCTTCCAAGAATTCACAAGGGTGGTATTCCACCCACCCAGTTTTTTTTAGATTACCAATCACATACTTCTCTACCGGAGAGGATAGTAAAGTAACGGATGATTAGCCGCTCCCATATTTTAATACACAAATCTCAACGGAAAATTGAATCCACCAAATACACAATTTGTGATTGTATTGAGGTATGATTTAAGAATCCTTTGAATGCTGTGCGTTTTCATGACATCCACGTGTAGAAAAGGAAAGTGTAGAAAACAAAACTAACAATCACTAGTAGCGAAACATTCTTACGCTTGTTATTGGTGCATACATTGATCCTCTACAATGACTCATACTAACTACAAATGAAGGTATAATCAACACAATAACTTCATCATAAGAACATGAGTGACGACGATACATTCTCCATCTATCATCCACGGTTGATCGTTCCAATTGCCGAAAGCGTCGCTATCCAGAAATGCTGGACAAGTTGAGCAGAATGCAACCAAATTTTGAAGGACTGGTTACAACTGTCAGCTCCAAGACTTTTTAACAGAAATGCTCACCATAATGAAGAATGTAGATGACAAGATAGGCAAAGTCTATGCACAGTACTTATAGAATGGCGAGAACTGACAAATAATGCGTCTTATAGGTAGATCTGATGGATCTACATTCGACCATAGGAAGAAGTAAGGAAATATGACGACCCCGTAGGTCATAGTCAAGAAGCAAACTAGTCTGTAAACACAAGTCTGGATGCACAAAATAAAGATATAGAGGTAGACATATGGAAACATAAGCGGAAAGAGAAACAGGAGCTGTTTTCTGCTGCGGTGTTGTACCCGGTAATTGATGCGGCTTCTAACTCTGCTCATAAACAAGAGGCGAAATATGAGGATAGCTGCACCGACGTATGTCTGGCGAGCGAGGAGGCTGCCTCAATTTTAGCAGACTCCGTGATTTTCCTCAGTTAGGGCAGTCCCTTGGGTCGAGCGTCTATCCATTTCGATCACTGCTGGTTACAAATTGCCCGTTCCTCGAAGTTCGATTTCCATTCAAAATATGTCCGCAGATCTCGACCGTATCATGAGCAGAGGATACTGATAAGTTTTAATTGATATCATCATCTGTTTCGCTGCAAATGTTATCCGATCGCTCTTGTGGTGGAGATTGTCTGCTCAAGGAGTCAAACGAAGATGTATCAGACAATTGGTTCATTGAAAACTAAGAAATTGACATAAATGAAACTAGTCGGGTACAGTGTGTGATATCAATCGTTGTGAGTGTAGAATCTGTGATGCATCTAAGAATGACGCGTGTACAATGCATCCAGCGAAACTAGCATTCGGAAGACTGAAGTAAAGAAAGACACTAGCGTGCTCGATAATACAAAGTTAACGAAGTAGCGAGGTAATTTCGCTTGATCCAAGAGTGGAGTGAACTGTTAGCTAAAAATTGTAATGTCGCCTTTGAAAATCAGCAAACCTCTGATCCGCTTTGTCTCTTTGCAGAAGGAAGATCGTTTGGAGTGGATCTCAACAGCAAGCCATTCAGTAGCTGAAGAACTAGTATCAGGCGAACAGTCACAAGGTGCTGCAAGCACTTATACTCCTTTGCACATTCAGAATCATCTCTGCATGAGAATAGGCCTGGTAGTACTGATTGCAGCCTCTGTGGTGGTTCTGTGGCATGAGGAATCGTAATATTCTACTTTCAATTCAAAGAAAAGCATTAAAAATTTTCCCAGCAGTAGAAATCCACCCTTGTTCGAACCGTCCAATGATCGCATAGAGGCTCAATTCCGTGAGTCCTGTTCCTGTCAAAAGACTTCTCGCATCTCAAAGTTTCTAGATTCAGGTGTCTTGTACAGTGCTGTGGCAATCAAAGCTTGCATGAGTCTAGCAACATCTTATCGATCCCTTTCGAATCTTCGATTCCGGAGAGACATGAAGGGTAGCTGGGGATCGAAAATGACCACCATGAAAAAAGCGGAAGGTAGCTGGTGCAAAGAACTTAGGTGGGCTCAATTTCATTCTGTTACAAGTGACGTCTGCTCATTCTATGAGAAGACGATAGCTGACGCTGTGCTTTCATTCGCGCCGAAAGATTTGCTGAAGAAATTGAGCTTCTGGACAGTTTGTTTGTTGGATTGCCCTTCGTAATGTGAAGCAGTCGTTGCTTTGAATTCAAAGCTGTTCGAGGCGAAATAGAGATATTTTTCAAGGGTCCTTCGAGAGTTATTTTCACACTGGTGTGAAAAAACCTGAAGCTCACGGTTTCATTCTGTTTGACATAACTGTACAGCTATGTCACTGCATGCATGCGTTGTCCTTAATTGTGATGGAAATTTTGCAAATATGCTCGAATCGCGAGATTTCAATTCAAGTCTGGAAGCATATTTCTTTAACACCATACTTCTTATTTCTTCACCAGTAACGTCAAAGTTCAAAGAAATACATAATGCGTCTCGAAATGAAGGTTCTAGCAGCCAAGCGAATCGCCGCTTTCGCCACTATATTTGAAGAAAAGTGTGGCACTGCCTTTAGTGCGAACATAATGACATATAGGCAACAACTGTAGGAACGCATCGCTAAAAAGTTGTTAATTAGTTGGAGGCTTTGAGACTCCCAAAAAGAATGAAATTCATTTCGAATGAGGGCACTCACGCACTGAGTGGGCGTAACCGGTGCAACCTTAAAGCGTTCGACACTGATGGATTCAAGAGGATGTTGGTTCAGCAACATTTCACCTCTTCCGCAGCAGGCCACAGCTTAGCTGGTCCCTAACATCAGAATATCTGCTAATCCAAATTAAGAACACTGCGCATGCAGAATTCTAGCTAAGTGTGATGACAGTTTACACTAAGCTTTGGCTATGGAAAGGTCATACTGCATCTGCCTGGTTCATGGGCAGGTCCGAGGAGAAGAGCGTTCAGAGCTACCATCAGCTTTTGAGATAGCTGTTCATGAGCAACTAAAAATCCAAGCTTTATAAACAACTTTTGATTCTGAATTGAAGTGGAACAGTGCAGTGTGCTTTGTAGCCCAGTAGTGATGTTTTTGGAAGAACTTGGTTACTAAATACCGAAACGAAGAAGAGCTGGAGAGAACCCCTCGCAGAATCAGTACAGAGGTCATGTTTTCTCCTGCTGGTGCTGTTCCTAGGATTTGAACCATTCTTTGCTCATTCCCAGAAATCGTGAGAAGGAAACTTTGTATGATGAGAACTGCAGCGGCTGACATCACTAAAACTAATCGATCTAAAGATAGAGCTAAAAGTGCTTTGATCATGCTGACTTTTCGAACGGCGATTCTTGGGCGGGACACCTAGCTCACTGTTGCCTTTTCCTGTCTCCATTGCTCCTAACCTTTTTAACAGAATTGAGGCAATACAAGAAAGAGTCGAGAGACACAGATACTGAGTACTGGAGAGCAGATCTTAGTTAATGGGGAGAGAACCCGGATGGGGAATATATACCCAACCGTGACAGTCCGAGAGATACAGAAACCCTAGTGGACAGCGGCTGGTCGTGACAATCTGTCACGACCCCGACTATAGTACAAAGTACATACAGCAAAGAACGTGAGTGTACGGAGGTCCAAGAAGTGGGTAGTAATTCGACTTCTAACACTTTTTGCTGCTAGCATGTGCCCGATGCATGATGGATGGAGAATGAGAGGAGAGAACAAAATTCTGGAGTTGGAGTTCCTGTCACCGCTCATCTTACCCTGTGACTTGGCAACAACATGGCTGGCGTTTCTCCAGACTTACCATTCTGATTTGGAATGTGATTGTTCGAGTGGTTTGAGATCTGTAAAAGATGCCATAATTACCTAATTCTAACGAGTTTGAGTACCTTGGTGGATGTCGGATGAAGCTAGAAGACCCGCTAATAGATTTACTGAAAAGCTGTCACACCTTCCGCTCGCAAGCTCGGGCTTGCACCCTTGTGCTGCTCTTGTTTGTAAGTCATGCTGGCAGCTACATGCGACTGAGAATCACAGGCCCATAGCTTCACCTGCCCTTCAACCACCTGATTGTGGTTTTCACTTGTCCTTGTGTCCTGCAGTTATCATCGTCCCATTCATTTCAACTCTACCAGGATTGGATCACTCACTTCGGACATACAAATTGAATCCAAATTGCCCATTTCTTCTGTTTATAAAGCTGTCTAGTGAAGTCTAGATTCTCATTACTTGTGATGCGATGTCGAGTCCCTGTGAAGTCCAAGTTAGCTGTGTTCAAGTCAAAGATTCCATCCACAGCCAGAAACCTTAAACTCTTGTCATCTCCTTCATGTCAAAATATTGCCAGAATAGGTTGCTGATGGCAAGATCACGTTCCCGAAACTTGACCGCATAGGCTTGCAGACTGCATTAATGGGAAGACATGTTCCTTACGGACGAAAACCCACGAAAAGAACTGCACCATTTGACATTTATACTCTCGTGCATACCCGCTGGAGTGGAAGAACACATTCCATAGAAAGTTGATGTCAAACAGACAGAAGAACCTCCATTTGATTTACAGATTCGGATATTACCAACCCACATGCTACTCCACTTAAAACTCAGTTTCTGTTTTTTATGACGAGCACGCTACTTCGGGCTCTTGCCTAGGGGGGTCTGCTTATCCCTCCTCGTATCACAGGGTGCAGTATTTGACTTCGTTGAATCTTCGACTGGATCTGACTGAAAATTTTATCAAAAAGCTTTAGCCTGATGAAATCATCTTAGTGAGCTTGCTGTTCACAGATTAGAAGACAGTGTATTCTGGACAACGAAAAGGCGGCCTCCGATGGGACCAGAAGAAAATATTCCAGGATAATGTAAGCAGTATGCTCTCCCGTGGTCTTCAATTGGACAATTTGTGGAATACAAGGACCGATACTGCCACTAGATACTTGTATTCTTGCGTCCAGTGTTCACGTAGCCTTCTGAAACTGCTTCCTTCAATCTTTCGCGTTCTCCCTAATCTATCTCGAAATCAGTTGTACGCACTCAGCCCAAGTCTGAGCGAAATCTTGGGTTTTTGTTCGCTATCTCGTGTTCACGGCTCTCTCCATCTGTCCCTCTGACTTGCTTTGGGTAAGACCCATCCATGTTAATGGAGTTGTTGTGATAGGGGATTTGCTGCCAAGGATTGACCTTGTTGGAGAGGTGGGTCGTTTTGTTCGTCTCTTTTTGTACATTTATAATTAGGGAAAGATTTTTCTTGCAGTAGTAGTACTATACGCAAACAGAAGATCTACGCAATGTAACACATTCTGTAGTGAAGGAGTATGAATGAAGAGACACAGAGGTCCTATTGAAAGCCTGCATGATGCCCACCATGGTCGCTCTTTCTATTTCTCAGTGAGATGTGTAATGTTGATTTCTCGACACGAAAAGTGCCTGTGAGTCCCTATTGCTATTGTTGAGTACAGACAAGTGAAATGCAAATGTGAAATGTAAAATAGTGTTTACATCCACTGGAAGATTTTACGATTTGGATTTGCAGAGGTACTCGGCCACACTATCCACGGACTCCGTTGTGTAGATAGGAGCTGATCTCTTCTTTTCTACATCCATTGTTGTTCCTTTCGTTCTGGGCCGGACTCAAGAGCAACAATCATAACCACTAAAATTCAATTGAAATGATGCGAAAAGTTATAAAAATGTTTGAACTATCATTATCTAGCCATCTAAAATGAATAAATTGTTTTTCATGAAAAAAATTAACTCATATTGTATAAAAATAGACAAATTAGAAAATAATTCGAAGCACAACTAAGATCTTTATCTTGTAATTATTAATACAAATTAACGAGATTTAAGAGATAAAGATTTACAGAATTATTATTAATTCTTCAGGTTGACATAGCAAATCAGATTGCATGTGACAATACATGTTATAGAAAATAGAGCCAATTTTTTTATTTCAAATTGAATGGCCTAAACATTTTCATATTTAAATATAAAATCAACCTATATATATATATATATATATATATATGATGAAAAAAATAAAATCATTAAATTTAAATTAAATTTTTTTTACTGTCGTTTTGATAGAGAACAAATCATCTCAAAACTAAAATATTAAAAGGTCTTAGTATCACGATTTTCATTAACTCGACTTGGCTAACGATATTCCAGGAAATCTGTATTAAAGTAAGGATTAATTTCAGAAGAGACATCTCGCGAAGCTTTCCATATTGATAAATTTATTTGACAACTCTTTAAAATTACAAACACAAATGGCATAAAATGATGACGTTTACATCGCAAAATTAGTTGAGAGAGCAACACCGTGTGTGTATGTATATATATACATATATGACTTGAATATTTCCAAAATTTCTTGTAGGTGAAAAGAGTTAATTTAGCAAGTCAAATATTAAATAGAGAATAATTGATCTTGAAATTATGACTCGTATTTTTTTGAATCTCATCATCTTGTCCGTATAAGAAATAAAATTAAATAAAAAGAATTTATTTATTTTTAAGAAATATAGTAAAAATAGTCTATGCCTCACAATCAAGTCAAATTAATTAGAAATAAATTTTTCAAACTGCTTATA